CAGGTGGTCCTGGGTATTGGTGGGAGGTTGGAAAGGTGCCCGTGGGGAGGGTGGGCACAGCACCGGGGGGGCCATCTGGGCCTGCAGGGTGCCTGTAGCTTCATGCTAAGGAACCAGGAGGCACTGCCCTTTGGGGACCCCATTAGCCTCACTGTGGCCAGGCCCAGAGAAGCCCCTCTGAGTGAGGACACAGGAGGCGCTCAGCCCCAGGGCAGGCCCACCACCTGTTCCAGGGCCGGAACTGTTCCTTCTTGCCCCTAGCTCCCTCCCAGTCTCTCTGTCCCAGTGCAGTTAGGCCTGGATGTTTCTGAGTTACCAGCTGGAGGGAGCGTGGCCCTTCAGCTGATCAGGGGCCCCCCAGTTGGGGTGGGTGGCTCAGGTCATGACCTTGGTAGAGGGGCCCGTGAGCACCTGGCTGTCGGCAGGAGGAAGCCAGAATGGCCCCAGAAACACTCCTTACAGAGCCGATAAATCCAGCCCCAACTGCCTGCCCTCTCTGCATTGCTGTCTTTTTAATATTGATGCATTATCTTTAAAAATGAGCAACACTGTTTGATTTCCACAGAGGCCATGTGGGGCAGAGAGAGACAGATTATCTCTTGACCCTCCAGTGGCTGATGTAATGAGTCTCCCACACTGAAGGCCCTGTCCTTGGCTCCCAGACATGCCTCGGTTTGGCTTGGGGCCACCCACTGCTGCAGGGACGTCACTGGTGCTGTCCTTGACAGGTGACTCATTCACCTGAAGCCCTGGATGCCCATCGTCTGGGGCCTGTGTCAGGACCACATGGTCTTGACCCCGCCTCTCTCTTCCGTGCCTTCCAGGGGGCTGGGGGCCTCAGCTAATGGGAACAGTTCGGATGCTGCTCATTTGTTTGCCTACATCGCCAAGGTGGGCAGGATCTGGGAGCCTCACAAAAAAGGGAGTTTGCTTGCAGCAAATATGAGTGTTCAAAAAGAAATCCGAAGGCAGTATCCACAAGAATCCTTCGTCTGCTCTGGGCAGGCAGAGGCCATCTGAGCTTGCGGCCTCCCAAGAAGGGATTCAGAGGAGCCACATTCTGCTTTCTACGTGTGACCCTCAGTCTGCTCCAAGTGGACTTGAGACATCTTAATAACAACAGTGACTAGCTACTAAAACACACACGTGCAGGCAGGAGCGTGTGTGCACACCCACACACACATACACACATGCAAACACACACACCCAAACACATACATATACACATACACACACAGTCACACACACATCCAAACACATACATACAGAATCACACTCACACATCCAAACACACACACACATACACACAAAACAGGCACACAAACACATACACAGAAAAACAATGACACACACAAACGCACACAAAAACGCAAACACACACCACAAACACACATACACACAAAACAGTCACACAAACACATCCACACAGTCACACTCACAAACACATACACAGAAAAACACATACCTAAACACACAATGACACACACAAACATACACACACAGTCACACACAAACGCACACACACACCCCAAACGCACACACACACACACACAGCAGAGAAGCAGCCATCCAGGGTATGCAGCCTCCCAGATTGATCCAGAGGCCCACAGCCCTGCCTCCTGTCAGCCACCCCCCACCAAGGGAGGGTCTATGTAATGAGTAGAGCAGGGCAGAGGTGCCAGCAGGCCAGGTTAGAGAGACAGCAGCTTTCATCCTGGTTCTCACGCTCTCTCTCTCTGTCTCTCCTCTCTCTCATCTCTTGTTTCCCTTCCTCTACATGGGGAGGGAACTCACTCCCTGCCAGCAGCCATGGGAACAAGCTTGGAAGTGGCTTTTCCAGCTCGGCACGCAGCCTCGTGGAAGAGCACCCAGGTGAGTTGCTTCCTGCGCCTGCCGCGGTGAGATGGTAGATGCTTGCTATTAGCCCCTATGTTTTGGAGTAATTTGTTACACAGCAGCAAAGGACCAACGCGCTGCTAAAGCAGCAACAGAGCAGGGGTAGCCAGGCACCTAAGAAGAGCTGCTTAGAAACACGAAAGAGTGGCTCCACCTGTGATCCCAGCGCTTTGGAGCCGAGGACAGAATTGCTGGGGGCACAGTTTGACACCAGCCTGGGCAACATGGTGAACTCTGTCTCTACGAAGATTTAAAAAAGAAAACATTAGCCGGGTGGCTCAAGCCTGTAATCCCAGCACTTTGGGAGGCTGAGGTGGGCGGATCATGAGGTCAAGAGATCAAGACCATCCTGGCCAACCTGGTGAAACCCTGTCTCTAAAAATACAAAAATTAGCTGGGCGTGGTGGTGTGCGCCTGTAGTCCTAGCTACTCAGGAGGCTGAGGCAGAATTGCTTGAACCTGGGAGGCAGAGGTTGCGGTGAGCCGAGATTGTGCCACTGCACTCCAGCCTGATGCCTGGCAACAGAGTGAGACTCTGTCTCAAAAAAAAAAAAAAAAAACATTAGCCAGGCGTGGCTCCAATGCTTCGGTGGGGACTTCGAATCTCTAGGCAGTACCAGAGAAGACTCCGAGACTCAGGATCAGCAGCAGCTGTCCTGAGAGCTGGGGTCCTTCCACTGGGCCACCCCCCCGCCACCTCATTGAACCACTCTGAGTAGGCCTGGGCCAGGCGATGCTTCCGTGGGTTCCTTCCCACCTTCTGAGAAGGGCTCTGTCACCCTGTGGCTTCAGTGGGACCTGATCTCATCCCCCAGACTGCCTTTTTCACTTTGTTGCTGAGGGTTGGGCACCTGGTTACTGAGGGTGGTGCACGCCTGTAGTCCCAGCTATTCCAGAGGCTGACGGAGGATCACTTGGGCTGGGGAGTTCCAGGCTGCAGTGAGCTATGATCACACCACTGCACTCCAGCCTGGGCAACAGTGCAAGACCCTGTCTCAAAAAAAAAAAAAAAAAAGTAAAACAGGGAAGGGGAGGGAGAGAGGAGATCTCAGAGGTGCATGGCATTCCTTTTCTGACAGAGGACAGAGGAGAAGCCCTGCATTTGTGGCCAGAGCACTGGGACAGATGGAGCCTGAACACCCTCCTCTCCATGGCCCGGTCCCCTGGGGGCTGCCGGCCTGAACTGTCTGGTCCTCCCCTCATTCATGGCACATGGTGTTTCTTCTGCCCAGAAAATTCTTGGCCCTCCATGTATCAGAAGCCATGCACTCACCTTCCAGGGCACTTCTGCCCACACAAACATTTCCTCCAACATGGAAGGGGGCCATCCTCTGCAGCAGGCAGTACCCAGGCTTCGGGGAGCTGCTGTCCAACCGAGGGGCTGACTGCAGACCCACCCACACACCTGGCATACCATGGCACTTGGTCAATGTTTGCTGACTCAGGGCATGCAGGTCAACTCTCTGGTCTGTTATGAACCAGAAAGTTGGGGCTGTGGTGATAACACGACTTATTTTTTATTGTTGCTGGCTTTGTTTTGTTGTTTGTTGTTGTTTATTTTTTTGAAACAGAGTCTTGATCTGTGCCCCAGGCTGGAGTGCAATAGCGCAGTCTCGGCTCACTGCAACCTCCACCTCCCGGTTCAAGTGATTCTCCAGCCTCAGCCTCCTGAGTAGCTGGGATTGCAGACACATGCCACCACGTCCGGCTAGTTCTGTATTTTTAGTAGAGACAGGTTTTCACCATGTTGGCCAGGTTGGTCTCCTAATCTTGTGATCCACCCACCTTGGCCTCACAAAGTGCTGGGATTACAGGCATGAGCCACAGTGCCCTGCAGATCACAGGTTAACAACCTGCCCAAGAGGTAGGAACCTCCCACCACACTGATTAAAAAACTGAGGCGCAAGGAGGTTGTGTAACTTGACGCAGATTGCACAGCTATTAAGTGGCAGAGCCAGGTCACAATCCAGGTAGGGTGGCTCTGTATGCACGCTCTTAACCACGGCACTTGCTGCTTTCCTGGAATAACACCACCTGCTTATAGAGGCCTCCCTCGATCAGCGCCTGGACTAGGACATCAGCCGCCTGCATCGTGGGCCTGGAGCTGCCCCTGCACCCGCCCCTGCACCCGCCCCTGCACCCGCCCCTGCACCCGCCAGCCAATCGGGTGAGTGGCCCCGCACCTCCCTCGTGACTAGTTCAGGCCATCCAGGCCTCAGCCAATCAGAACACAGCTCTCTGGCCCAGCTCGCCCGGGAGCGCCAACTTCTGCCCTTTCCCAGCGTGGTGGCCTAGATATGTCTCGCTCACTCTGTCGCCCAGGCTGGAGTGCAGCGGCACAATCTCGGCTGACTGCAATCTCTGCCTCCCAGGTTTAAGAAATTCTCCTGCCTCAGCCTTTCATGTAGCTGGGATTACAGGCACCTGCCGCCACCAGGCCCAGCTAATTTTTGTATTTTTAGTAGAAATGGGGTTTCACCATGTTGGTCAGGCTGGTCTCAAACTCCTGACCTCAAGTGATCCACCGACCTCAGCCTCCCAAAATGCTGGAATTACAGGCCTGAGCCACTGTGCCCGGCCACAAGGCTCGCTTTTGAAGCCAAAAGGGCCGGATACAGCCTTCCACTCAGCAGCGCATCCTGTGCTTCCCAGATCCGATGTTTCTGTGGGGACTTTGAATCTCCAGGCAGTGACAGAGAAGACTCAGAGACAGATCAGCAGCTGCACCGAGAGTTTGGGTCCTCACACAGGATGCAAGCTGGGCCGCGCCCCCTGCCCCACTGAACCACGATGAGTGCGCATGGGCGGGGTGATGCTACCCTGGGCTCCCTCCCACCTTCTGAGAAGGGCCCTATCGCGCTGTGGCTTCAGTGGGACCTGGTCTCATCCCCAAGACTGCCTTTGTTCACTTCGTTACTGAGGGTTGGGCATCTGTGTCATGCAACCAAGAATCCTGGACAACAACACAGCCTGAATATTGTGATAAAGAAAAGTGAGAACCTCTGTGTGCCATAGAGCCTCGAGCAGATACACGCGTTGATCTGCGGAGGCAGGCCCACAGGCTATCCAGGTAAGAACGTGGGGCCAGTGAGGAATAAATACACGCGTTGATCTGCGGAGGCAGGCCCACAGGCTATCCAGGTAAGAACGTGGGGCCAGTGAGGAATAAATTCAGATGCAAGCAACAGAATACCCAACCGACAGGCGATTCCAAGACAGGCTTTTTTTCTTTCTCACCTAACTAGAAATCTGAAGGTGGGAGTTATCCCATCAGCAGCCCAGACTGGTGAGCGTTTGTCTATGTTGTTTACAGGGCGGCTGCTGGAACTGCAAATACCACACACACCTCTACAGTCAAGGCACAAAGAAAGGACGAAGAGACAGGGCCAGTCACATCTGTGCCCTTTTATAGGGAAAGACAAACCTGCCCTAGAAGCCCCTGCAGCGGATTCCCCCGGGGCCTCAACGGCCACAGCAGGCCCCATGAACGGCGGTACTATGAGGGATTCTGAGATGGCACAGAACCAGGTTGTCATGGCAGCATTGGCCAAGCATGCTCTGTTCCCAGGGGCTTGGCAGACCCCCAAAAAGTAGAGTTCCATAGGCAGGAAAGAAGGGGAATGGATATAGGGCAGGCGGCAGGTCTGCCTGCCACAGGTGGGAAGACAAGGATGGGGAGGCTCACAGATTCCCTAGCAGGGTGGGGATCAGATCAAGGCTGCCTGACCCGCTACAAAACCCGAGATCCTGCTGCACAGCTGGTTGGGGGCAGAGCCCTCCTGCTGCCGCTCCTGCTGCTCCAGCCACCTCAGCAACAGCATGGATGCCACAGATGCCAGCCACCAGATGTCCACGAGACCCACTGCCGGCCTCACTGCCAGAAGCGGTTCTGTGCTGCCCCTGCTTATGGTGTGAAGACACCGCAGGCTTCCAACTGAAGGCTGGAGGCGGATGCACCTGGTTGATGGAGCCCGGGCCATGTGACTGAGTCCTGACAGCAAGGGATGCTGGGAAAGTTAGCATCTACCATTTTTCAATTTCTACGGAGAGATGAGTCCTGCTTTGCAAACTGGAGATTAACTTTAGGTGAGAAGGAGGCTCCTTATACATGCAGGGAGCATAAGTTGGCACAACTTTTTGGAAAGTAATGTGACAATGCATATGAGCAGCCTAAAAAAGGCTATAGCCTGTCACCCAGTAATTTCATTTTAGATAATCTCTCTTAAAATGGTGATAGGGGTCAGGCGCAGTGGACGCCTGTAATCCCAGCACTTTGGGAGGCTGAGGTCAGCAGATCACTTGAACCCAGGTGTTCAAGACCAGCCTGGGCAACAGGGTGAAATTCCGTTTCTAAAAAAAATTTAAAAATCAGCCAGGCATGGTGGACCATACCTGCAGTCCCAGCTACTTGGGAGGCTGAGGTGGGAGGATCTCTTCAGCCCTAGATGTCAAAGCTGCAGTGAGCTATGATTGCACCACTGAACTCCAGCCTGGGCAAGAGACTGAGACCCTCATCTCTTAAAAAAGAAAAAAAAAAAGGTAGTGTTTGGGGTGGTAGGAAACCTTTAACACTCATGTCATCTTGACAGAGGTGATCAAACCATAGTCATGTGGCAGCACCTGACTCATCCAGTGAGGGGAATAAAAGAATCTCAGCCCAGCCGTCCTACAATGAATATTTTATAACCCAGGGGAAAAAAGCTTCAGTTGTAATGGCAAATGGAAAGAAGAACAGGATATACCTGTAGCTGTCTTGGCAAAGTCTTACGAGGTATTATTCATTGAAAGCAGCAAGCCAGTTGCACAAGCCTGCCTGATTTGAAATTAGTTGGCAGGAATATTTGGAAAATTCCTCATATTTTAAAAAAAAAATTATCCTTGAAAATTAGGAACAGGTGGCCGGGCACAGTGGCTCACACCTGTAATCCCAGCACTTTGGGAGGCCGAGGCAGGTGGATCACAAAGTCAGGAGATGGAGACCATTCTGGCCAACATGGTGAAACCCCATCTCTACTAAAATACAAAAACTTAGCCAGATGTGATGGCGTGAGCCTGTAGTCCCAGCTACTTGGGAGATAGAGGCAGGGGAATCGCTTGAACCCGGGAGGCAGTGGTTGCACTGAGCCAAGATGGTGCCACTGCACTCCAGAAAGAAAGAGACAAAGAGAGGAAGGGAGGGAGGGAGACAGGGAGGGAAGGTAGGGGAGGGGAAGGAGGGAGGAAGGGAAGGGAGGGGAGGGAAGGAGGGAAGAAAAGGAGAGAGAGAGAAGGAAAGAGAGAGAGAGAGAAAATAAAATTAGGAAAAGGCTTAAAATGAAAATACCTGGGAGAAAGCTGAAGATGGTTGGCTGAAAGGTTTGAAAGAATGGGCATTCCCAGACGAGTTCACAATGACTCCGTAAATAAGAATGCTTGCAGCCCAGCTCAATGGCTCATGCCTGTAATCCCAGCACGTTGGGAGACTGATATGGGAGGATTGCTTGAGATTGGGAGTTCAAGGCCAGCCTGGGCCGCATGGCGAGAGCCCCCATCTCTACAAAAACGTGAAAATTAACCAAGCCAGGTGGCTCACACCTGTGGCCCCAGCTACATGGGGAGGCTGCAGGGAGTTGTGTTCACACCACTGTACTACAGCCTGGAGGACTGAGCAAGACAGTGTCTCCAATAAAAAATCAGATCACTAGCGCAGTAACTTGTAAGACTTGAGGCCAGGAGTTTGAGACAGGGTGAGCAACATAGTAATACCCTGTTTCTAAAAAAAAAAAATGTACAGGCCAGGTGTAGTGGTGCACCCCTGTACTCCCAGCTACTCAGGAGGCTGAGGCACAAGGATCCCTTGAGTCCAGTAGGTCAAAGGTGCGGCGGACCAGGACTGCATCAATGCACTCTGGGCAGCAGAGCAAGACCCCATGTCTTAAATCAATGAACACATCAGGTCAGGTATCAGGTCATGGAAGGTATATCCTTTCGGTTTCTTTCTTGGAAAAGGTCTCACTCTGCCCTCCAGGCTAGAGTGCAGTGGCGCAATCTCGGTTCACTGCAGCCTTGACCTCAGGAGCTCAAGTGACCCTTCTGTCTCAGCCTCTGGAGCTGTTGACACCACAGGCACACACCGGCATACACCGGCACACCTGGCTAATTTTGTTTCCTTTTGTAGAGATGGAGTCTCGCTATGTTTCCCAGCCTGCTCTCAAACCCCTGGGCTCAAGAGATCCTCCCGCCTCGGCCTCCCAAAGTGCTGGGGTTGCAGTGTCGCCTGTAATCCTAGTCCGTGGGTTTCTACCTGCAGGTCTACTTGCCACCAAGCCTGACAGCAAGGATGTATTATTTATGTGAAAATATTTTTAAAGCAGACATTACAAAGAATAGAAGGGCCTTCTGCTTCTGGCCATCATGGGGCAACTGGCGTGGGACTTACTCTCCTGCCACATGCAACTAGAAAACTGGACAGGAAAGTCCCGAAGCAACTGTTTTTAGACATAGGACAAGAGGCAACGACGACCGTGATCCCTGAGAGATGCGAAGGTTGTGAGCCCTGCAGTTATCATGGTCTTCTACCTGGAGGTCCTTCCAGACTGAGACACAGAACACAGACGTGTTGTGAACCTGTGAACCGAGACATAGAGACTGCAGTTTGAAGACGCTGAAATGATTGGAATTTCCAAGGCAGAGCACCTATGTGGAGCTGGCCATGCAGGTGATGAGTTCTAGAAATCCAGATAGAGGCCCCCTTAAGGATTTTGCTAAATCTTAAACTGTGCATATGTACAAGGAAAACCCATGACACTCAGCAAAGAGTGACAGCTGGTCAGCTGTAACACGGAGCGAGTGACAGGGTGCACAGAACCTGAGAGACGTCTGTGTTACCAACAGACCTCATCAGGCACTCAGGGCATGTGGTGAGCAGTAAGGAAGAGTCTCACCTTGATAGCAAATCTCAACTACCCCAGAACAGAAGCGTCATTTAGACTTACTACACGAAACTTCAGAATAAGCCTCAAAAATATCAACCAGCTCTGCAAATTGACTTTCCGTCAGAACTAACTTCAGCATTCTAAAAAGAGACGACAAAAAACAGAGACTCAATGATGTAAAGATTAAATGTCATTCGGTGAAAAATCATGAGGCATGTATTGAAGCAGGAAAATGTTACCCATAACTAGGAGAAAAATCAGTCGATAGATATAGACCAATACTATCACACTGGTTGTTAAGATAAAAAAATAATAATAATAAGGGCCGAGTGTGGTGGCTCATGCCTGTAATCACAGCATTTTGGGAGCCCAAGGTGGGTGGATCTCTTGAGGTCAGGAGTTCAAGACCAGCCTGGCCAAAATGGTGAAACTCCATCTCTACTAAAAATACAAAAATTAGCTGAGTGTGGTGGCGGCACCTGTAGTCCCAGCTACTCAGGGGGCTGAAGCAGGAGAATCTCTTTTTTTTTTTTTTTTTTTTCTGAGTCCGATTCTCACTTTGTCACCAAGCTGGAGTGCAGTGATTCGATCTCAGCTCACTGCAACCTCTGCCTCCCGGGTTCAAGGGATTCTCCTGCCTCAGCCTCCTGAGTAGCTGGGACTATAGGCTCACACCACCACGCCCGGCTAATTTTTATATTTTTAGTAGAGATGGGGTTCCACCCGCCTCAGCCTCCCAAAGTGCTGGGATTTGCACTTTGCCTCAGAGGCTGAGGCAAAAGGATTACTTGATCCCAAGAGTTCAAGGTACACAGTGAGCTATGATTACGCCACTGCACTCCAGCCCAGGCTACGGAGTGAGACCTTATCTCTTAATTCTTTTTTTTGAGACGGAGTTTCGCTCTTGCTACCCAGGCTGGATTGCAATGGCGCGATCTCAGCTCACGGCAACCTCCGCCTCCTGGGTTCAGGCAATTCTCCTGCCTCAGCCTCCTGAGTAGCCGGGATTACAGGCACGCACCACCATGCCCAGCTAATTTTTTTTTAGTTTTAGTAGAGACGGGGTTTCACCATGTTGACCAGGATGGTCTCGACCTCTTGACCTCGTGATCCACCCTCCTCGGCTTCCCAAAGTGCTGGGATTACAGGCGTGAGCCACCACGCCCGGCCTTTTAATTCTTTTTTCAACATTTGAAGTGTGATTTCTGCTGAAATCATATCACTTTCACAACATTGTTAAGTAGAAAAATTGTAAGTCAAATCATCATAAGTCGGGGACCGTGTGTGTGTGTGCCATGCACCAGGTCACAGTGACCTTTAAAATCCTTGTCTGCTAACTCCGTGATCCTCTCTGTCACATCTTGGCCTCCTTTAAAAAAATATTTATTGCTCTTATTTTTTATTCTTTTTTTTTTAATTCAAGACAGAGTCTCACTTTGTCGCCCAGGCTAGAGTACAGTGGCGTGATGGCTGCTCACTGCAACCATCACCTCCAAGGTTCAAGTGATTCTCCTGCCTCAGCTTCCTGAGTAGCTGGGATTACAGATTTGCACCACCGTGCCCAGCTAATTTTTGCATTTTTAGTAGAGACAGGGTTTCACTATATTGGTCAGGCTGGTTTTGAACTCCTGACCTCATGATCCACCCACCTCAGCCTCCCAAAGTGCTAGGATTACAGGTGTGAGCCATCACGCCTGGACTTTCTTTCTTTCTTTCTTTCTTTCTCTTTCTTTCTTTCTTTTTCTTTCTTTTTTCTTTGCTTTTCCTTTCTTTTTCTTTTCTTTTTTAGAGTCCTGCCTGGCCGGCCTGCCTGCCTCTCTCTCTCTCTCTCTCTCTCTTTCTTTCTCACAGTCCTGCTCTGTCACCCAGGCTGGAGTGCAGTGGGGTAATCTCGGCTCAGTGCAACCTCCGCCTCCCAGGCTCAGGAGATTCTCCTGCTTTGGCCAGGCGCGGTGGCTCACGCCTGTAATCCCAGCACTTTAGGAGCCTGAGACAGGTGGATCACCTGAGGTCAGGACTTCAAAACCAGCCTGGCCAACATGGTGAAACCCCGTCTCTACTAAAAATACAAAAAATTGGCGGGGCATGGTGGTGGGAGCCTGTAATCTCAACTACTTGGGAAGCTGAAGCAGGAGAATAGCTTGAAGTCAGGGGGCGGAGGTTGCGGTGAGCCGAGGTTGCGGTGAGCCAAGGTCGCACCACTGCACTCCAGCCTGGGCAACAAAACTTGATCTCAAAATAAATAAATAGCTCACACCTATAATCCCAGCACTTTGGGAGGCCAAGGTGGGTGGATCACAGGGTCAGGAGTTTGAGACCAGCCTGGCCAATATGGCGAAACCCCATCTCTACTAAAAATATAAAAATTAGCTGGGCATGGTGGTGTGAGCCTGTAGTCCCAGCTACTCTGGAGGCTGAGGCAGGAGAATCCCTTGAACCCGGGAGACGGAGGTTGCAGTGAGCCGAGATCGCACTATTGCAAACCAGCCAGGGCGACGGCAAGACTCCACCTCAATAAATAAATAAATAAAAACCTTTTCTCTGTGAAAGACACTGTTAAGTACCTGTAAAGACAAGTCACAGACTTGTAGAAAATATTTGTAAATTACATATCCGATAAAGGTCTTGCATCCAAAATATACAAATTACTCTTTTTTTTTTTTCACTCTGTTGCCCAGGCTGGACTGCAGTGACACAATCATAGCTCACTGTAGCCTCAACCTCCTGGCCCAAGTGATCCTCCCACCCCAGCCTCCCAAGTAGCTGGGACTGCAGGCATGCGCCACCATGCCAAGCTAATGTTTTTCGCTTTTTTTTTTTTTTTTTGTAGAGATGGGGTTTCACCATCTTGGCCAGACTGGTCTTGAACTTCTGACCTCCTGATCCACCCACCTCAGCCTCTCACAGTGCTGAGATTACAGGTGTGAGCCACCGCGCCGAACCAGTTTTTCACTTTTTTGTTTGTTTGTTTTGAGACAGAGCCTCGCTCTGTGGCCCATGCTGGAGGGCAGTGACATGATTTCGGCTCACTGCAACCTCTGCCTCTTGGATTCAAGTGATTCTGCTGCCTCAGCTACCTGAGTAGCTGGGATCACAGGTGTGCATTACCATGCCTGGCTAATTTATTTTTCTTTTTTCATTTTCTTAAATAAAGATGGGTTTCACATGTTGGCCAGGCTGGTCTCAAACTCCTGACCTCAGGTGATCCACCCACCTCAGCCTCCCAAAGTGCTGGGATTACAGGCGTGACCCACTGCACCAGGCCTGTTTTTCACTTTTTGTGGAGACAGGGATCTCACTATGTTGCCCAGGCTGATCTCAAATTCCTGGACTCAAGTGACCCTCCTTCCTTGGCCTCCCAATGCATTAGGGTTACATGGATGAGCCACCTCACCCAGTCAACCAAAGAAGGTAGATAGATGACTAGCAGACACATGAAGCCAGGCATGATGGCACGTGCCTGCAGTCCCAGCTTCCGGGGAGGCTGAGCTGGGAGGAGGTAGGATTGCTTGAGTCCAGGAGTTCAAGGCTTTGATCCCACCTGGGAATAGCCACTTTACCTGAACCTAGGCAACAGCAAGACTTCACTTCTAAAAAATGAAATAAAACTTAGTAAAACATATGATTACATGCATCACAGGCCAGGCACAGGGGCTCACACGTTAATCCCAGCACTTTGGGAAGCCGAGGCAGGAGGATTGCTTGAGCCCAAGAGTTGGAGACCAACTTGGGCAGCAAAGTAAGACTCCATCTCTACAAAATAATTAAAGAGTTAGCCGGGAATGGTGGCATGTGCCTGCAGTCCCAGCTACAGAATGAGGCAGGAGGTGGCCTAAGCCCAGGAGGTCAAGGCTGCAGTTGACACCATTGCAGGCCAGCCTGGGTGACAGCAACACCCTATCTCAAAAAGGAAATGTGCATCACATAATTTGTCATTTGAGAATGCAAATTAAAGCAACAAGATAACAGTTCCACTAATATTAGAATGGCTAAAAAATGTTTTAAACTGGCATGGCATTTCCTCAAAAAATTAAAAATGGAATTACCCTATGATTCAACAATCCCACCTCTGAATATGTACCAAAAAGAATTGAAAGCAGAGTCTCAAAGAGATATTCGTCCACTCATGTTCACAGCGGAATCTTTCACAACCGCCAGAGGCGAAGGTGCCCCCAAGTGTGAGTGGAGGGGTGCGACGAGGCCGTCCCCGAGATGGAGCGCTCATTCCTCAGCCTTCAAGAGCACGGAAATTCCAACATGTTCTAGACCATAGGTCTGCCTCCAGGACAATTCGCTAAGTGAAATAGGCCAGTCACAAAAGAACAAATACTGTAGGACTCCACATGTAGGAGGGGCCTGCGACATTCACACGGACGGAAAGTGACATCGTAGCCACCAGCGGCTCGGTGGAGGAGAATGAGGAGTTGACCGATGGGTATAGCTTTTCAGTTTTGCAAGACGAAAGGAGTTCTAAAGATTGGCTGAACCACAGTGTCGACGTTCAGTGCTCAACTGTATGCTCAAAAGTGGACACCTGGGCACGGTGGCTCACACCTGCAATCACAGCACTTTGGGAGGCCGAGGAGGGCGGATCACCTGAGGTCAGGAGTAAGAGACCAATCTGGCCAACATGGTAAACCCCATCTCTACTAAAAATACAAGATAAGCCGGGTGTGGAGGCATGTGCTTGCAATCCCAGCTACTTGGGACGCTGGGGCAGGAGAACTGCTTGAACCTGGGAGGTGGAGGTTGCAGTCAGTCGAGATCCTGCCATTGCACTCCAGCCCTGAGCAATGACAGCAAAACTCCATCACAAAAACAACAACAAAAAAAAGTGGTCAAGGTGGTAAATTTTGTGTTATGGGTGTTTTCCCACAAAATTTCTAATTTTCATGTCATATTTATTAAAGACATTTATAGTTTATTTTAAGATATTGCCCTGATAAGGCCAGGCACAATGGTCCAGGCCTGAACCCAGGAGGCGGAGGTTGCGGTGAGCCGAGATCGCGCCACTGCACTCCAGCCTGGGTAACAAGAGCGAAACTCCGTCTCAAAAAAAAAAAA